TATGATTTATTATCTTGAAAAGTCAGGTTTTGGAACAGTTTAGGATTTAAACAGAACTTGCAAAGATAAGAGAGTGTCCATATAAGCCACATTTAGTTTCCCCTGCTAATAACATCTTACCTTAATGTAGTATATTTGTTACAATTACTGAGACAATTAAGTTCATACTGTATTCAGGTTTCCTTAGTTTTTATCCAATGATCCCTCTTCTGTTGCAGGGTCTCACCCAGGATCCCACATTCTTTTAGATTCCATGTCTTTTTAGGCTCCCCTTGCCAAGACAGTTTCTCAGACTTTCCTTGTTTTTTTCTTTCCTTGACAGATTTTTCTTCTTCTTTTTTTTTTTTTTTTTTTTTTTTGTGCTGGAGTTTACAGCCAGGGTGTTTGCAATGAACTACATTTTCAGCACACCCCACCTCAATTTTTAGATTTTTTATTTTGAGGCAGAGTCTCACCAAATTGCTAAGTTGTTGGACTTGAGCTTGTGATGTTTCTGCCTCAGCCTTCCAGAGTGGCACACCATGCCCAGTTTCCTTGACAAGGTTCTCAGGAACACTACTTAGATTTATTGTAGAATGTCTGTCAGCTGGGATTTGATATTTTTTCTCCTGGTTAAAGTTTGGGGGAGAAAAGCCACAGATATCTTTCTGTGGCATCATTTTCATTACAGTAGAGCAAAGGTACATGTGATCAACATCTTTTATCACCGCTGGTGTTGATCTTAATCATCTGGGTGAGGAAGTGTTTGTACGATGTATCCATTGCAGTTACTTTTTCTGTAATTTGGCACAGTGTAGATGTTGCCACATGTATCCTCAGGCCTCCTCTCATCCTTAACTTAAACTTCAGGAGTGAGAAACTTGCCTTCTGCCATCTGCCATCCATTTATTTAATTGCTTGATGACAGCGTACACACAGCAGTGTCAGAATACTCATCCACCCCTGTGGGAAACCATCAGACCATTTGGGGTGCATTGCCTGTATGCCGCCCACTTTGCCTGAATCCTACAGACCACTCACTTTCTCATGCATGGATGTCAGCAAAGTTTACCTTGATCTCCTGCAGTAAGGCTCTTATATTTTGGACTACAATTAGATTCTTCTGGGACAGTTTAGATTCATCTGGGGACTGCCTGGCCTCTTAAGTGATTTTTTAAAAATCTGCATATGTTAAGGCTTCCTCTTTGCCGTGCATGTCTGAGTTGTGAGAAATGCAGTGTCATTTATCCAGAAGCACAGGATCACACTCATCACTTTCCCTACCCTAAAAATAATCTCTATTGCACATATTCAACTTCCTGCCTTCTCTCTCAGACCCTTTTACTACCATTATAGTTTTGCCTACCCAGAAATGTTAAATAATTAGCATCATGTAGCCTTTTTAGACTATTTTCACTTATCAATATGCGTTTGTGTCATCCACTTGTCATGGCTTGGCAATTCATTTCTTTTATTGCTTTTATTTAATCTTCTATTGAATAATGTGACACATTTATTCATGCACTTATTTAAGGACATTAAGATTGTTTCCAGTTTGGGTGATAGTGAATAAAGCTGATATAAACATCCAAATATGGGTTTTTTTTAGAGAACCCCCCCTCACTCTGTCCCTCTCCCTCTCCCTCTCCCTTTTCTTCTCCCTCTCCCTCTCCTTCTCTCCCTCTGTGCTATAACAGAATACCCAAGATTGGGCAGTGTATGAAGAGCAGAGCTTTCTTTCTTTCAGTTTTGAAGGCTGGGAAGTTCAAGATGGAGAGGCCACATCAAGTGAAGGCTTTCCTGCTGTCATCCTGTGCTGGAAAGTGAATGGGGAAAAGACTGTACATGTGAGAGGCTAAACTCACAGCTTCAAGAGCTTTTATAATTATTTATCATCAACCCATTCATGAGAGTGGAGCCTTCATGACTTAAATACCTCCCGTTAAGTCCCACTTCCCAATCCTCTTGTATTTGGAATTAAGTGTTCAAGAAATGAATTATGAAGTTATAGCAGCAGGCCCTGGTTCAAGAGTCTTTAGTATTTGTAAATTTATCGTGAATTGTGTAGTGGACTATACAGTCTTCAGCCTAGAGCTCAAGAGTGGGTAAGCTCAATGGCACTGCTTCTTGGTGTATGTTTGGACAGCTCATAAATATAAATAAGAATATTATGTTTCCAGGTATAGTGCGCGAAAGGTGATACAGGTACAACTGCCTTTCCTAGCAACATTTATCAGGGCTTGTCTGATTTTCTTACATGTGACTGGCGCCCCCTAGTGAATGGAGAATTAAACTTGACTGCCGCTGTAGAAGAGGCCAAGGAAAACGCCTGACGCTGTTGTAAGGACTTCACGTGATATTAGACACTCAGTATTGCACAAAACTGAAGTTCTGCAGTGGTTAATTTTGCAAGGGAGATGCAAATTAATCTGCACTTTCTTAGATCAAACTAAATGAGTTGATTTTTACTTTCAACATAGGCTGAACTAGATTTTTACAGCCACTAGAATAAGTCTGATACATTTAACTTGGGGTTTAGGCTTGGGAAAATATCGATTCAATCCAGAAAATTCTAATTTGGAATGAATAAATTTAGCCCAAATTTTAATTTGGACTAGTAAATTGCACTTTGAATATGGTATTTAAAGAAGACTCTGGCTGTTTGAGTTATACAATAAATCAATTACTCCCTCCGAAACTCCTTGCTCCGAAAGAGGTGAGTTATAATTTTGTCATCATAAGTATCTCCTAATTACCACTTACAGGACGGCGGTAGGGCCTCATCAAGCAACCAAAATAATTCTTATTCTCTAATATGTTCCCAATATTAAATATTAAGACTATATAACCAAGTCAATTGCAAAATAAATCAAATATCTATGACAGGAGGTAGTATTTACATAACTTTAACAATGGCAAGAGACAAAGGCAAACCCTCAACTCAGTGACCTTTAAAATGAAGCATCCTGGACCAACAAGTGGAGAAAAGGTCAAACAGAAGGTGGGTGGCACATTTAAATAAGTAGATGAAAGGGCTACTGGACTCTTCTCAATGGTCTCGCTTTATGTAAGAAACTATCAAATTATGAATTGCACGTTGGGTATTTTTGCTACTTTTCAGGGGCAGCCTCTTCTATCCCCTCCTACTCTCTTTAAAAATAAAAAGGAAGTCAGTGTTTTCCTCGGCGGACGAGCTCGCCCTTGGACTCCCATGCGATTACCCTTTCAGATTCTCCTCAACCCGGCAGGCCCGAGCGGGCTTCTGTAAAACCCTCCAACCCCTCTCCGTTGGCCTCGCTCCCTGAACTACTAAGGGCCTCGCGTTGCACAATTACATCGCATTGGTCATTCTCCGGATATTGGAGTACACGGAGCACACGCAAGCATCCCTTCAGCCGCATGTGTCGAATGTGTCCACAGGTCGACCTCAAAATCTTGCTCTCCATCTCTGCAGCAAACGCGTGCAGGTCCCGCGCCCTTGTGAACAACGCCTGCGCCGGCGAAGGCAGCGGGAGCTGGAACGCGAGGACATCCAGGTGAGTGACCGGCGAGGCCCAGGCACCTGCCCGCTCCACCCCTGTCGTCACCGCACCCGCGCTCTCCCACCCGTTTCCCAGGGGCACCGCGCAAAGGCTGC